TTGTAGGTGGCTTTGGCCGCTGTTGATGTCGCGGTAACTTCACTCTATCGTCGAAGGTCATCGTACCGTTAAACCATGAACCACACGCAACTTTACCCTCTACATCATAGTGGAACTCCGCTGTGCTATTTGCAAAATCGCCTCTTGATGATGTGGCCTTCTCGAATTGCCATACGTCTTATTCGACAAGAACTTCATCCAGCTTCGGAACAAACTTAAAATCGGTTCACAAAGCAGACAGCTTTGGTAAACACAACCTTCATCTTCATCTGACATGACGTGATAGTTCAAAATGCCAAAAACACAACAAAGAGCACTGTACTAATGGACTGGTGGATATCTTTCCCTCACACTGCATGCATTTAAACAATCGCATGCACTCAGAGGCTCTTGTGAGTTGCAGCGTGTCGGTGCGGCAGTGCGGTCTCTGCAAACAGCCAAACACTTTGATCACGCGATATTTTCCATATTGTAAAATAAGTAAAGGGAATACTGAAGTCGTTCAAAGAGTGCTTGAACTGCATAGGGACTACAGATCTAAAGTTTTGAGGCATTTTCGATTAATAAGAGATTGATGCAGGTGTTTTGCATTGCTAACTGATATGTGAACCATGCAACGATGCGGCGTAATACAAGCTATCATTACTTCAAGCGTCGTTTGACCTGTTTACCAAAGCATTCGCTTTGAATCAACAAACCTATTGACATTGCACATTGGTAAAGTTATACATTGCTCTGTTTGGTAAAAGCTTTTCCCAGACAGTGTTGACGTTGTTCAGGTGGGTTTTCAACTCCTCAGTAGGATACTAGTGTCTTGTTCTGTACGATCTGCAGGTTTGATCTCCCAGAGTATCCTGCTTCTTCCAAAGCGCCCACCAAATTCTGCTGCTGAGAGTTTTGCCACGCTGCCCTCGATTCAGACTTTCCTTCGGGTGGTTCCTCTCCGCATCATTCCAAAAAGTAACTCCCGAAGACCGGCATTTCGGTACCAGTGTTGAAGGGAGGCAAGTTTGTCCTGCCCAGAGTGGTTTAGCCAAGTTGAAGAAGCTTTCATATCGCAGATGCCAGGGCACTGGTTTGACGTTGCGATAAGTACATGTGCTGAAGATGGCATCAACATGAGCACGCATCCTGGTTGCACGCGTCCTCGGTCAGAGTAGCCGGTCAGTTAGCCTTGGGGATAGCAGGGACCTCAACACGCCGTCACTCCTTTCTTCCTTGATGTGTAGTAGCTAACATCAGTGTAATTGTCATTCCTTTTAGATGAGGGTCACTGAATAGCATTGCAAAAATCTTCCGCAAGCAGATTATTGAAATGAAGTTCATCTGACCACTACTGACGTAGAATCACTAAGTCGAAGCCCAACAAGCAGAAATCACTGAATTCTCTTCAGCTGAATCTATTAAACTCTATCTGACTGTCACTCTTCTGTTCAATTCGAAGCGAAGACTATCAGCGTCATTTTGTTTACCACAGTTGAAGATAGGCAAATTAACCGACACAAATGGATACGTTGCTGTATTTATTTCTCAGCATTCACTGTGATGTTCCACAGACATAACGCAATCTCCAACGGCGCACTCGAGCAACCCAGGTCGTGATTTTGCAGTATTGTAAAGACCTAATAATTTAGGCTAAAGAAAAATCCGTGTCTCTCTTGCCTTGCAAAGGTTCCAGTCTGTGGGATGACAGGGATTGCTGCTGCCCACGATTTCCAGGCCGGCCTTATCTGTGAGTGGTTTTTGAAGTGCTTAGGAAATTCATAGACAATTCATAATGTAGAACTCCTTTTTACACACTTTGGCACGAATCGTTTTGAGGAGAACTTGAGCAATTCAATCTGGAGAAATCATCAATCTTGGAGATTTTGCGCTATAGTCAACTGACAACCAGTAGACCTTTTCAATTGTATCGTGAAGACTTGAAAGGCAGGTAGGCATATCAGGAAGAGCCAGTGAGGAGGTAACTTAGCATATCCGTCTATTTGATTTAGTATAGAGTGTTCCATATCAAAATTCATTCGCTTTGAAAAAAAATTCATTTTAAGCTGGATTTTGTGAGTGAGCATTGAAGAGCATGAGAAATAATTGAAGACAGATATAGTTGCTTCGAAATACAACTAGTGCTTTTCGTTAGAGCAGGTGATGGATGTGACATTTACATTAACCGTACGTTGGATGCATGGTCTAACAGTCTCCACGGCGTTCTGTCTACAGCTCGTGCTATTGATTCAGAATGATAGGGGATTTTGATGACTTGGAGAAGAGTGTGAGGTATATTTGTACCATTTTCCCACCACAGACTTGCATTTTGTGTTTTCTGACACATCACATCCAATACAGGTTCTAGGGGGTGCAGATCACATCGAGGGAGTTCCATTTCCTGCTGTCAGCATAACATTACGAATGCGCCATCTCCCCTGTTTTGCACTCAACCCAACCTACAAGCGAAGAGGTCTGTTGACACATTGAAGCAAGCACTGATGAGGTCACGGGAGGAGGGAGGAATAACTGACCATATCTTCCCAATGTTTCTGTTTGGTGACTCATCGGACAATCATCAAATGACTCCGTGCTAAATCGCCTATTATTAATCAAAGCCCTAATTGAACGCCAGCTTACCAGCTTAAAGTTGCATTCGACGCCAGCATTGGAAATGCAACGACGTCTGCGATAGACCGAGCAATCCTCTGCTCAGCACGGTGTTCTACTGACAGACTTAATGCTGGACAAATTCCAGATACTGCCTTCATTTGCAGATCCCAAGGCACAGAACACTGTGGAGGTGAAGGCGCAGGTCGGCCAGTAGTGAGTAGCAAGTCGACAGCGCTGTGGGCGTAGGCTCGAAATGGAATGATGACAATATGACTCTAGAAATCATTCTCAGTGACTGTAAGGGGAGGTGCTGCGGATGTTTGTAACCCCATGCTGGATTTTCTGAAACTTCCAACTGACCGCCATTCCCCAATTAACCTATGACTTTGCAGAAGTGGCAGCAATTGGAGTCGCTTGAAAAGTGTACGTCTTCTACACCTTTATAACTCCCAAATTCGCGGTTTTATAACGCGCGTGAATCCTGTCGCTGTTGATATACCTTATCTGCCTCGTAAGATAGACCTACTTGCCTTTGTTTAATTGTCACATCACTGGGAACACCGCAAACTAAATAATGTTTTGAGTTCGGTTTTACTTTGCCCCTTAATTCCGCGCTCTACCCTCGTGGTTTGTTTGCCTTATGGAAACTAAGGTGCTGCCATGTAACCAAAGATCTTAACAGTAACACACATTTGACACCGTTAATTTAGGGAGCAGACAATAACAGTATTGAGTGTGCCTGTTTATGTAAAAGATCGCTGGAATTACCAGATTTTTTTTGCGAATGAAGTTTTAAAATCCAGACTTGCGGATATATACTCATCTACAGAAGGCTCCAAGCACAACATGGTGCTAAAACACACTTCATCACTTCGAAGTAAAAATTTAATTGATATAAATATTTAAAATACAAATGCTGACTATCAGTAACCATCCTATCAGTGTAAATATTCCGTTTACGAAATCCTCTTTTCTCTGTGTCTAATGGATGCAAACCCTACGTGAAATTACTCAAGAGGGGAACCTTTCCATAGGAGTAATGGACACAGTCACTCGCGAACAACTGCGATGTCGAAACGTTAGCACATTTTGTGCAAACCTGGATAGCGAGCTGTCCTCGGATGGTTTGGCCATGCTAATGAATCCATCCATAGAGAAGCTTTGCACTGGGGCTAATGTAGCCAAAGTTTCAAAAAAAAGAAATAAATGTAGCTTCTACTCCTCATAAGAAATTGACTCCAACCCCTCTAGTATAAGTAAAAACAGTTCACGTCATGTGCGGATAACTACCTTAGCCACTGATTTGGAGGATAACAGGTTTTACTAACAATGCATTTATTACACGTGAAATTCATTAAGGTTGGATCGATTACCGCAGCTTTCAAAA